CACACTTAGGAATTACCTCTATGCCCCTTCTAGAATAAACATACATTATCCTAGGCTTAGTGACTTTTGGTAATAATAAATCAGCATTCGTATCACACAACACTAGTAAATGAGTACTTACATTAAGCTGCTTGTAGAATCAAACATTGAAACATTATGGGACAGATGGAAAGTAAGGGGGGGTTTGGTTTGACAAAATATTTTTTAGGGATTTTTAGCTTTTGTGGAAAGATTTGGAATTTCTGGTGTGTTTGGTTTCAAGGATTTGGAATGGAATTGAATTCCATTCTTTATAGATAATTTATAAAAAAATTAATATAAATAATCATAACAATAATTAAAATCCCTTTTATTAGTTGATTATTATAAAATAAATGTTTTTAACATATTTTTAGAATAGTACTACAAATAAATCCTAAGAAATCCGGTAAAATTTGGATTTCTAAATCCAATGTTGGTGGGATTTCATTGCAATCCCGGAATTTCAATAATGACTTTTCTTTAAACCGAACGTGGGATTTGAATGGAGTCCAATTCCAAATCCCACCAAATCTCGCAAACCAAACAGGCCCTAAAGGTCATGAACCAATATTGTTTATAACTATAGTGTCAACTCCTATTTGCTCTTTCACTACTTCTCTGAAATACATTCAGATCTTAAGTTGAAACTTCGATAACCATTTTTCATTTATGAATTCCTGTGTGTTCACTGGAAGTGGTAATGGTTGGTATCCAGGTTGGGGGCCTCACATGTATTTCCAGATGTTATCAGAGTCCAGAAACGACACTCAACCGAGTAATATCAATGGCTTAAATGTGGCACCATTGGAGATTGAAAACGTGCTTATCCAATCTCGCAGTGGCATGGCGGTCTCAGATGATAGCATCCACAATACCAATTCAATCCTGAATGAAATGGAGAGAGGAAGAAGACATTAATCAAGGTTCGACCATCTACTTATCCTTTAAGTTCTGCAGAATCGTTTAGCTTCTCGTGTGGGTCCCCTAGCTTAGTACCTCGTTAAGAAGAAACTAGCAACTCATGCACATATGTGTCTAGCTTTGTCCGGTAACATAGTTTCAGATCCTCTATTTTTTAGGAAAATGAAGTACAATTTGATTTCGAAGGTCAAACCTATGACTATCCAAATTTCAACCTAAAAGTGAAAACAACTAGAAGAACTTTGGTAGATTTCTAACAAAATTCATGTTGATTTTTAACCGATAATGCATCGGTTTGACCAAAGAATTCAAATTGTACTGAACGTATGTATTGTTTGTGCTTTGGATGTTTTTGTGATCCCTTATTTTTAGTTCTAGCATTCAGCATTTGGCTCTATCTGTTTTGATTTTCTGGTGCATTTACTTGGGGTTATTTAGGACAATGACCTTCTCATAGGGTTTTTATAAGAACATCTCTCCTTAGCATAAGAATGCTTTTCTTGACACAAGCGTGTCTCAAAATTAGTCATAATGCATTAAAAAAAATATGTTTCCTAAATAACCCCAATTTACTCCCAAAAGCAAGTGTATCCAACGGCCAAACCATTTTTTTCTGCGTTTATGTGAAAAGGAGAAACATATTGTCATATCGATATAAGGGACTGTTTGTTAGCAGCTTAATTAGCTTAATGAGACTCATAACTTATTTTGTTAGCTATATATGACTGTTTGATGGTGGCTTAATGATATAGAAAATGACTTATTCAGTAAGCTTCTAGATGGGAGTTTTATGCAGAAAACCAACTTTTTTCCGAACCTGACCAACCAATTAAAAAACAGATGAAATAACTTTCTCAAACAAAAACTTTCATAATCTATACGGACATATTAATCCACACAGATAGCTTTCTCCATACAGGGACGTGATGGAAAACCAACTAAACAGCCTGTAAGATTGTATTCCAGAATAAGAAAAACTTGTCAGATTTAGGATCTAGAGGTCTCTCTATTGCATGTAGGAAGAAAGGTGGGAAATTAATTAATCGATAATGATATAAAAATGAGCATCTTGAACAAATGTTTATTAACAATTTCTTCTAATAATACACAAGTTACAACATTTGTATATGTATATCCGTCACAGCAACCACTCGCACAAGAATCATCAATTCATCGATATAATTCTATTCATGAATTAGATGCACAAAAGAGCTTCGGACTGAATCCTGGCCCGAGCCCAGTTGAAGCCCGAAAATTGCAAGGTCTGGTTAAAGCCTCGACCGGCCCCTAAGGCCTGAGTCGCACCCATATATGATATACCACAGCACCACACCCAATGTCTGGCACGATCTGCCTAGACTCTCGATGGCCCAGTCTTTATCTTTTTTTTTTTTCTTACAAGTCATGAGGCTTGGGCTGTTCTCGTCTCTAACTACGTATCGTATTAACATAACCCTTGCCTCGAAAAGATTATTGAGGCGGTTATCACGCTCTATCTACCGATTCCACCATAATGATCGTTCTCAAGAGACAATAACAATGTATGCCGATAATGTGTAATTCCCGTTAAAAATCATTTCAAACTCGGGTGCAACTTCATCAATAATAGTTATTTGATTAAAATGTCGATGTGACATTTGAGAACAGTGTAGAAATTGTTGTCGTAGAAGGTGATTTTAGAATAATTGTAAAAACCAATGCAACACTTTGCAATCTCAAGATGTGGCTTGGGCTTGGCTCCAAATGTCAAAAGTACCAAGAGGTTTCAAATTCAAATTCAAGGAGGAATAAAAATTCTCTTGTGGTCACGAAGGTTCAAATGCGTTGACTCCAGGCTATCTGCAAAGCAGGTGGTCGTCCTATAATTAGTTGGCTTGCATAACGGGTTTGATATCCAGGTTAATCAAAAAAAAAAATCCTAAGATGCGGCTAGGTCTTGCTTAAGCTTGATTATCATTGTAAAAGAACGATATTCGATCTCAAATGCAGACGTACGAACTTCATGACTTGAAGCTTCTTGTTTGTAACAACACTCTTTGATGTTGAAGAACAAGAAGGTGGACTAGTTGAAACAATATTTGTCCTGCGAATTTTTATAGAGTCTTGATATGAAGAAACGCTCATGAAAAAAACTGAAACTCCAAATTTCTTTTACGAAATCTAAATCCCTCAAAAATATTATATTGGAACATATTTGATTTGCAGGATTTGGAGAGATTTGATGGGATCTGGAATTGGATTCCATTAAATCTCGTGTTTAGTTTGAAAGAAAGACCATAATAGAAACTCCGGGATTTTAATATAGTTCTATAAATACTGGATTTAGAAATAAAGTGTGGGAGTAGGTATTTCACAAGATTTTGCAATATTTGTTTGTAATGATATTTTAAAATATTTGTTTAGTAATTAACTAATTATCATTTATTAAGAGATAATTTAACTGTTTTTATAATTATATACAATTTGTTTTTATAAATACTTCATACATCATAGAATTCAATTTCATTTCATGTCCTATATATCAAACACACCAAAATATTCAGATTCTTTTAATTCGAAATCTTTCTATGAAATCCAAATCACTCAATAACCTGACTTTATTTTTAAGAAGTTGATGCCAAAACAATGTGAACCGATCCTGATGTGCTTTTACCCAAAGTAAATTCGGTCAATAAAAAAATTAGATGATGAGATTAAGCCTAGGTAGGGTGAAAAAAAATGAAGGTTAAGTTTCTCAAATTAAAATAGAGGCTTAAACGCAATAAGTAACAATTTATTTTCATGAACTTTTTTATTTTTATTTTCTTATTATTGTAATGTAAAATTAAATTATTTTTTATGAGAATATTATATTTTGAAAAATCGGTATGTGAACGTAAAAATATATCAACTTTCACAACAAAAACACTGTGAATGTTAACTTCCCAGTATCCTATTGTAAAGTTTCAAATGTAAAAATGTGGTCTTATAGGTCTTACGAAAGCAAAATGGCCTTACATGATCTCAAGCCTATATATATATATATATATATATATAGAGAGAGAGAGAGAGAGAGAGAGAGAGAGAGAGAAAGAGAAGCGATCAAATGCAAACCACCCTCTTTTGTGCAAACCCTACAAACTAATCTTATTCATCTATTTTCTTGATCAATGGTCATGATTAAAATATGTTATATATATATATATATATATATATATATATATATATATAAAGAGAGAGAGAGAGAGAGAGAGATGAGCGATCAAATGCAAACCACACCCTTTTGTGCAAACCCTACAAACTAATATCATTCATCCATTTTCTTGATCAATGGTCATGATTAAAATATGTTATATTAGGAAATTAAAAATAAAATAAAAAGTTTAATATTTAATCAAGAAAGGGCAAAATTGGCAAACCATTTTAACTTTCAGCCATATTATATTAGGAAATTAAATTATTATTTCATTGACGTTCCTTCCATTGATATATTTGACATATCATGTTCCTAAAAAACATCTTTTTACATACAACTTGGCAACATATATTATTTGGGACTGGACTGGTTAATGAAACAAATTGACGTAATCCGAAACATGTTTCATATCAATCCAAAACTTGTTTCATACCAGTCTGATTTATGATGAGAATACATCAACAATGAAATTAGTTTTATTGTTCGTTTGTATAATGAAATTTGAGCTAGATATGGTTCAGTCAATGAAATATTTTCCAAAAATCTGAATAACATGTTTTTGTTAATGAAATTCGTTTCATCATTAAAATTGGTTTCATGGACTCCATAATTTCAAAAACTGAATGATATTGTTTTAGTAATGAAAATTGTTGAAATGTTTCCTAACTAAAATAGAATCAGTTTCATGGTTTTTAACCAAGATGAGCTCAGTTTTACATATGAAACTAAATAATATTCAGTCAACGAAACACTTCAAGAATTGAATAATAATATTTCATTCATTTTTAAATTTGTTTCATGTTTCCTAACCAAAATGGAATCGGTTTCATTGTTTATAGCTAAGATGAAATTGGTTTCATTAATGAAACCAAATATAGTTCAATTAATGAAACATTTTAAGACCTGAATATTATTATTTTAATAATGAAAATAGTTTCATGGTTCCTAACCAAAATGAAATTAGTTTCATTTTTTAAACATTTTGAAAATTGTATAACATGGTTTCATTAATGACATTTGTTTTACGAATGAAAACAAAACAATATACTCAAAATCTGGAAAATATCACAACTATATTATTAATAAATCAGTAACTACTTATGATTTCATAAAAAATAAATTATTACAAATAGACTTTGTAATTGATGTAGTAATTTTAAATGAATAAAAGAATATAAAATATTAATGGTAATAATTATATATTAAAATAAATTGATTTATAGCTTCCTTAAAAGCAATTACTATATTTAATTGTGTAAAATGAGCAAAATAGCAACCTATTTTTACAAATTTCCTAATTATAGCATTGTACTTTCAGTTTTTCTTATTACAATAATGTACTTTCAAATATTTTTTATTAAGGCATTGTACTTTTAAAATTTTACCCATTATAGCATTGGGTAATTTGTTTAATTAAATTTACCCATTATACTATGTTTCTTTGCCACCTCATTGTCCACGTAAGCTATCCACTTGTACGATGGTGCTGACATGACATTTTTTATTACAGCATTGTACTTTCAAAATTACTTTATTATAAGATCACCAATTTTTATTACAACATTATATCTTTAATTTTAATATTTTTATCATTTAAACATTGTAAATTTAATGGCAAAATGCGCAAAAAATATAATATCATAAATTTAACATGTTTATAAAAGATCACTATTTCACGAATAAAAATATCCAAAAAAAAACAATTCATTCATCGAGTTCATCATAAATTTCATGGTTTACTTTGTAATACCAAAACCTAAACAAGTGGATATCTTTTCAACAAAAAAACTCATCTTATTCACATTCGTCTAACAATGTTATTTAATCAAGTGGAACCGTCTCGTCACAACTACTACCTTCTCCATCTTTTTCAACGGTATTTTTTCGTAGGTTGTTCAAAGTTATCCTTTCACTTGGCCTCTTTTTTTTTCGGGATGAGCTTTGGTCGTGATTCCGCTTTAGATGGTTCCTGTTCAAATTAGTGAACAAATTAGTATGCAATTGATATATAAAATTAATATAAAACTCGAAGATTTTACATTACCTTTTTTAACATCCCTTTGTGAACCCGTTCCGCCTCGTGTACCCCCTTTACTGCTTTGTCTATGAATATTAGTCATAGGCCTGCCTGGTGGTCAGACATCTTTTCAATGGTGCATCTTTTTTTTCATTCTTGCATGATCTACTGTTATGACCTGCTTCATTACATTTGGTACATGTCATTCTTCTTCCTTGTCTTCTAATATGTCCTGTTGAAGTCAATAATCTTTCCACTGCATCCCTTTTTCTTTTAAGTTTTGGCCTTCCAGGCAATCTTCTTGGCAACGGCGGCAAGGGGCTGATATGATTGGTTTTCGGCCACAATTTGATTCCGTTTAAAAGTATTAAATAATGATTATATGACTGAATAAACATGTTTTTTTTTCTGAAACAATATGGAACATAACTTTTTGGTACGCAACAAAATAGAAACGTCGATTACGTTGCTTATAATATTGAAAAGATAGGTACGCAAACCATAACTTTGGTAACCTTCCAGGAACAATTTTTGTAATTGACTCGAACTACATTATAATTTGACAATTTATCATATCCACATCATCAATAATTACACAAAATTTTTATGATAATTAAGAAGACAATTATTGTTACATTAAATAAAAACTAATACAAATTTCGTAATATTTAGATGAAGACCAAGAGTTAACGGGGTGTTTGAAACCAACGGGTCAACCCGAACGGTTTCATTTCCAGTTCAATTTTACAAGTTGCGTGTCATGGCCCCTCCCCTATAAATTGTCTGCCCTCACATCAAAGCTACCATTACACACACCGTACCATCTCGAATAACAAAATAGGATAATGGAAAACAAGATCCGAAATTATGGAGATGAAGCAGTTCCGTATCACCGGCTTCGTGACGGTACCGGAGTTTGTAATGAAATCGTCGGCACTGGCGATGACTCGAGGTTGAATGAGCTCGGCTACAAGCAAGAACTACACCGCGGCCTCTCGTAAGTAAACTCGGTATTCTTACTCTTTTCGATATGAATCTCACAATCAATTCATTTTGATCTTATTAGCAAATAGCAATCGATTTATGCCTCTTTGTTAAGTTAGGTCATCGACGTATATGAACTGATAAGAATTTTAAGTTTGAATTTACTGAGCTCTTGATTCCTTGAACTCCATTGGTATTTGGTAGGTTTGTTAACTTCGATTTTAGTTTCCGGATTTTGAGTTCTTTAGAAACCTATAGAAAAGCAGCGAAAAACGAAACATAGATCAGATCCACGATAATGGCGTTTAGTGATTTTCCGTACTGCTGCATCTTCACCAGCACATTACGCTTTTTCCGGTAATTCATATTTCATGGTAACTAAAGGCATGAGCCAAAGATGCATTCATACAGAGAAACATTTTGGAACTTCATGGCTCATGTCTGTTTGGATATAGACAAGATGAGATTTGAGAATATATGATTTCTGTTCAATAAAACAAGTTATGTCGCAAAAATAAATCAGAGTCTACGTGGCATATTTCATATCATTAAAAGATAAATCCAGAGGATAACGAAAGGTTGGTGTATGATTGATTTGAGTTTGGTTTCAAAGGTCAAAAGTACCAGGAGATCTTAGGTTCAAATCCAAGGAGAAATAAAACTTCCCAAGTGGCCATGGAGGTTCAAATGCGGTGACTTCGGGCTATCTGCAAAGCAGGTGATCGTCATGAAATTAATCGGCTCGCATAACTGGTTGTATATCAGGTTAATAAAAAAATTCAGAGGAATAATGGATAGTGCTTTACACGTCATCATAGATGTACTCCTCTTGCCTGGAACTACTATGGTAAAGAACAAATGTAACTTTTATCTTAGACGTTTATATTCTTAGAACTTTTAACTAACAACGAATGATTTTATATCTCCACCACGTAACCGGACTTTTTTTTACCATATAGATAGAGAGAGGGGAGAAGAGGGATCAAATGCAAATTATTCATATTTTTATAAACCGTGCAAACCATCCTCATTCATCGATTCAATTCATCGATTTCATTGTTTAATCTTATGAAAAAAATTTATGAAATTGTTTAATCTTACTTAATTGTTTCATATAATACATTTTTTGATAAAGTTATTTCATATAATATACTTGTGAAATTTGAAGAAAACTGTTTCATGTATTTCTCTAAAATTAATATAATGAAAATGATAATATCCATGATTAACACCCTTCACAATAAAAATGATTAATCAAACTCTCCTATTTATAAAAAAAATGAACAAAGTGAAAAATTATGATTTGTTGAATGAAGTTTGTACGATTTGTACAAATAACATGGTTTGCAAAAAATAAACATCCAATATATATATATATATATATATATATAGAGAGAGAGAGAGAGAGAGAGAGAGGGGTTCAAAGGAAACCCTAAAAAATAAAAAATAAAAAATAAAATGAGAAACACCTTATCAACCGTTCATATGGATGGTATGTATATGTGTGTACCGGTAATTGAAGTTGTTTTTTGATTTTTATGCACGTGTACATATCCAAAAAAATTGCTTAAAATTACTAGTATACACACATGTCGTTCAAATGAACGCTTACTACGGTGTTCCTCGATTTTTTTTATCTTTTTGCAGTTTTCCCCTAAACCTAGACCTGACCCTATATATATATACACACATAAAAGAGTAACCACAAAATTTGTAACTTTTTAAAACAATTCAAATTACATAATGTCACATCTTTTTTAAGTGTAACGACTAAGTTTCTTTTTTGATATGTTTTCAACTTAATTTAATGTATTTTTCCCATGTCTTATTTTTGTTAGTTTTTGTTTTCCTTATTTTTACGGTATATCTGTTTTAGTTCTATCTTTGTTGTTTGTTTGCATACACTCTCTGCTACTTTTTTCATTTGTATCTTTATAATCTTCGTTTTGCAAACAAGAGGCATCCACGTAAACAATCTCCCTATCCAATTTGTTTCTTCCCAAGAGGGTGAAATTTTAGCCTTCATCCATTGACTTGTCCTTGATGATGAATTCAAACACAATCTTATGAAAACAAATTGACTTCTGATATATGATATATTTGAACTTCATGTGTAGGTTACTCGCCAACTTTTCGGTGACTTTCTCCATAATATCGGTGATCACGGGAATAACCACATTGTTCAGCACCGGGCTTACGTTCGGTGGGCCCATTAGTATGGTATATGGATGGCCAATAGCAGGCCTATTCTCGCTGTTGGTGGGCCTATCAATGTCTGAGATCTGCTCTGCTTACCCTACAGCTGCTGGCCTTTACTTTTGGAGTGCAAGGCTTTGCGGCAGTGAATGGGGTCCATTTGCTTCTTGGCTCACAGGATGGTATGTTCTTTCTGCCTTCTACTCTTTCTTACTATTTTACTTGCTTTTTTGTTCCAACTTCATTAAGTACGTAGAGGCCACAGCCACATATAGCAAATTAGCATGTACCATTGTTCAGGGACAGATGCGGCTGAGACTAGACTACAGATTAGGGCATGTTTATATTATAAATGTTGAGGGTGAGACTCGAACGGTGATGTACCAAGGATGGCTCTACCCCTGCTCTTGTTTGTTATAGGTGTTACAGTCCCCCATCTACGAAATTTGAACCATTTATGTTCTGTGTATGGTTGGGATCTCCTTTTTCTCCTCAAGTTCTCTCAGTAATCCAATGAGGTTTGATATACTCTCAACGGTATCAGACAGCGGTGAACCCATGATTCTTGCCTACGGGTGTACCTTTAACATAGATTAAAGGCCTATAAGGAAAACTCAATTGTGTCAATTTGGGTATAAAATACATTTTTTCAAATGGAATCGACCTTTTGAACAAAACGTGAGACTAAATTTTAGGCGTTAGCCTGATGTGTTTTAGCTAAATTCCATGTTTTTAGGGATTTTTTAAAGTTTTTTGGTTGATTTCGAGAGACTTTTTCAGTTTTTGATTTATTTCGAGGGACTTTTCGGTTTTTTGGTTGATGACCCTTGTGTTTTCTAGCACCTTCAAAGTTAGATTAGATTCACTTAAAGTTTAGTCGGTGCACATTTTATATCCAAAATATTTCTATTTGCGGAAATCAGCTGAGTGGGTGCATGGCCCCCGTGGATCCTTCTTAAGTCTTCCCTCGGTAACAAATCCAAAGTCTTCCATTCCTGTGACTCGACATTTTGAGACAATTATACTAATCCTAGCTCTCTCTCTCTCAACATTCTTGGACAATCTACTCACCCGTTTAGCCTCAATTGGAGGGCATGTGTTAAAGTCACACATCAGCTAAACTTAGGTCATTTGTCGTGTATATATGTCAGAACCTCTATTCCCTTCCGAACGACTCTTTTAAAGAGTAATTTAATGAGTTTTGAAATATTTGTGTTTTGTAGCATGGGTGGTTACGATAGGTTCCACATAAAAATATATGATGTGCGGTTTTAGTTTAAGCTAATACTTCTAAACCCGGTTCAAATTCAATGTAGATTTTGAACCTATCATTTTGGTTATGTTTACATGTTATGTCACAAAATGTGTAATATTCATTTTAATTTTGTGATGTTGTTTTTCTTCGTTTTGGCCATTTGGTTTTAATTAATAATATTATAAACTTTCAACGCTATAGTTCCTAGTTCCCACTTAGTAGAGCCTTCATCTAATATTTTGGCCTTTGACGAACATCACTTTGGTTATTTCAAGATAAATAAGTTCTCTCTTTGTTTTCTTATTTCCTTTTCTATACTCGGTATATCTACAAATGCTTTTGTTACGAAAACAAAACTCTCAAAAATAAAAATAAGATGATCTCATGAATTGCTTCTAATTAAGTCGTACAATTATGAATAAACACACACATACACACACATATAGAGAGAGAGAGATCATATGAAAACAAGAACAAAATAAGAGAATTAAAAAACGGTCGAATCACATGTGATTTCACACTTAAATTACATGTAAAATCACAATGACTTTGGTTACTATTCTCATTTGAACCTCCCCCCCCCCTCTCTCTCTCTCTCTCTCTCTCTATATATATATATATATATATATTATCTTATTAAGCAAATTTAACAAAAGTCTTAAAGTCTTAAAATTCTAAATGACCAAGATACCCTTTATACTACCTTTTAATCACTTTTTCACCCCCTCCTCTCCTCACATACACTTACCCTTTCACATACATTCACTCTCTCACAATCGATTTTTTTAAAATTACAATTTTAAATTTATACTTTATACCCTTATAATTAGTTAATTAATTTACTTTTAAATGTTTCATTTTAAATCTTTATCAAATTAACATACATAATCGTATATCAATTAAAACATGTTTAAAACATACATTTTTATTTTAACAAGTTACACCATTATAATCGTCTCGTTAATATCTTCAAAATGAGTCCAATATTGAATAGTTTTTGACTTAATTATATTATTATATATTATATGTGAAAAAATATTTTTAATATTTACGATTTATATTTTTATAGTTATTTATTTACATATATACTATATATTTTGGGGTTAGGCTGTCCAAATTGCACTGTATAATATGTTTTGAATTAATATGTTCTTGGGTTTTTGGACAAGAAAGAGCGTAAGCAGTTGAAATTTCATTCTAAAACTCATCTTTTTTGGTCTTTTCATGGCTTATAATCTGTCAAATTTGTAGTTTTTTTTATTGGTTTTGAGTGTTTATCTTAAAACTCAAGTTTCTTGGTTCTTTGCTCTTTGTGTAAATCGAACACATTTGTGGAGTCGTTTAAATATGTTGGATTTTAAATATATTGGATTTTAAATTGACATGCAATTTTTTTATCGATAGTCTGTAATTGGAACCATAACTTTTATTTATTCAAATTATATTAATATGTAAAGACCAAGTGTAAATTATATCATCGTTAAATCTTATCTTATAAAACCAGTGGAACTTCAAAATCGTTAAAATTCATAGCTCCCGTCGCATTGCGCGGGTACACAACTAGTATATTCTTAATTTAAAATTTATAAGCAACCTAATATAAAGTTCTACATAGTTTAAACAATTAAATTAATTCACTGATAGAATCGCATGAATTAAATTTGGTAAATTCATTTTATATAAAGCTAAATAGATCAACTATAGTTGAATCTAAGTTCAACCAACGGTTTTTAACATAAAAGCGTTATACTAAACATGATGTTGGATTTAATAAAGGGAAACAAGTATAATGAAGTAATTGATAGTAAATTTTTGGTTGAAAGAGGAAAAATGAGATCTTGCACATCTTAAATGACACTTATAATGTTTTCATGGTCTATCTCTTTCAACATCAAAAATTCATGACCACCACTCATGCATCTTATTGACTTTCTGCCATCTCTCTTTTCTATCGCTTCTTTAATGTCTCATACATTTGATTTTATGGCCTTTTTTAAGTTATAACTTTATCATATGGAGAAGAATTTAAAGTGTAAAATAGAATAGATTTTAAGTTTTTTTTTGTTTATAGCTTAATATGTTTAATGGCTTAATCGTTAAGCAATCTACATTTGGCTTAACTTCGCCCCTTCCTCCCGCCCCCGATGGATTTTGTCACTTTATTTCTAAAACACCCCTTTATTCTTCCCAAAGTTCACACTTCCTTCAATGCTCTCAAGAAACCAACGATCTCTCTTTACCTTACTCTCTTTCTATGTCACCACCACCCTTCTATTCTTAGTCCTCCTCATATTCATCATCTTGGAAACCAAAAGTTCCATCATACCAAGTCCTTTCCATGCCTACTAAAAAGTTAAATAATACAACTAACTCGGTCTTGGAAAGGAAATATTTATTAAATTCATCTTTATATTCAAACTTCCAGATTCGGACTTTCCAGTAGAGAGTTTGAAAGCAATCAATCGAATAATTTCTTGTCAAAGTTGGTTGCACCTCCACCAAATTCGTCACTTGGAGCACCAACAAACCCATAAGCTAGCATTGTACTATCATAAATTTATGTAATGGTGTCAAAAAAAAACAAACGACTTATTAACTATATAAAGCTGATTTTATTTATATAACCAACTTAATCTATATATCGCTTAATAGAAAGAAAAAAACTAACTCCCAAGATGCAATGATGTTGAAATGACTGATGAAGAATAAGCTAAAATCTTGATGAATTTGTAGAAATCCATGAGGTAGCCTTGAGAGACCTCTATTTGTCTAGGGAAAAATGTAAAATGATCAATGAACCCCTTGTAAGCTTTTAGAGGGAGTTTTATAAAAAAGTCAATTATTTCAGAACTTATCCCTCCTAGTTAAAAATATGCTCTTTCTATCTTGAAAACTCTTTCAAACAAAAATCTTTCCAATTTACACAGCCAAATTAATCCACATATAGTTTTATCCATACAAGCTTAATGAAAACCCAACCAAACAACCCCTAAACCTGTTACCTGCTATGTTTCGACCCAAGATGAGGGTAATGGGTAAAAGAAAAATATATATCTATTCAAATATCCATTATTGATGACTTATCCATTACCTAACATTTTAGCAGCTAGGATATGGGTAAACGAAGTTTCTTGTTACCAGTTAAAATATATATATATATATATATATATATATATATATATAGATATAGGGGCTGGTTCAAATACTAACCCAATATTTTGTGCAAACTATGCTAACCCATCTTAATCGTTCATTTTCTCATCTAACGGTTATTATTAAATGAGATTAAATAAACAATAATTTAATTAATATATTAATTAATATGTGTATGAACAATTGTTCAAAGGATAAATTGGTCAAAATTTTGTATTAATTAATATGTGTATGAACAATCGTTCATCTTCGTGCCTATATCAAGGTATGAACATTCATGTGAACCCTATGGTGTGAACCCTAGATATATGAACATTAGCTACACCGTGTGAACCCTAGATATATGAACATTAGCTACACCGTGTGAACCTAATGAACACTATAATCGATATATGAACATTAGCTACACCGTGTGAACCCTAGATATATGAACATTAGCTACACCGTGTGAACCTAATGAACACTATAATCGATATATGTTGATCATATGATCATGTTCTTCAGCCTTGATGCATGCTCGTAGCGATACACATGCACGACGATGAGACATGCACATTAACAAAAACAGGGGTTGTGCAGATAAAACCGATACCTGTACTTTATATCTGTTCGTGCATGATGTTCGCTGTAGGTGGTTTCATATGTGAATTAGTTGTCAATAAGATGAACATATTTGAATCTTCATGTCATTATTAGATGAAGATCAATTTGAGATATTGTAGGATTTGTAACTCCCAATTAAAATATTTGGGAGTTACATAAGAATGACTAATGACCTAAATACCCTTATCATTAATATGTAAGTTACATTTTAACCAAACCCAAAGATGCAACATTATTGGTTGATGTGGGTTACCAAAGTTTGCACAAAATATTGGGTTAGTATTTGAACCACCCTCTCTCTCTCTCTCTCTCTCTCTCTATATATATATATATATATATATAGACACACATACGCATAATTATATAAAGTTCATATCAATACAATATGATTATATATGATGTATATAGATGTTTAATTTATTTTTATTTTTTTTCATACTCATTTGA